TGTATAATAGGACCTTCTGCTCGCTGATGAGGGACAGGCACCGGGTGTGCAATGCTAGTGTTTTTAAGTAATGGTGCTCTTAGAGGAACCTCAGATGATTTAGCAATCCGAGGGCGCTTATTTCCACTCTGGTGTTGTTCTTGAGGGTGCGGGTGCTTATCACTGCCCTGGTACTGCGCTTGACAGCGTTTATTTCCACCCTGGTATTGTGGTTCAGTCTTGGGGATTGAGCCAGAAGGTGATGCACTGCTTGAGGAGGGGGAGACAACAGTACTTCGGGTAGTGGAGGTAGTAATGGATGAAGTAGTGGCGGGAGAGGCAACTGCTATTGGGGTAACAGCGGCTGCAGCAGTTGTGGAGGGAGAAGTGACAATGATACGGACGACTGGATTAGCAATAGCGGACGTAGTTGGGGCAGGAGAGGTGACTGTGACTGGGGAAGCAATGTAGGCAACAGTTGGAGCGAGGGAGGTGACTGTGATGGGAGCAGTACAGGCTGCCATCGTGGAATTGAGAGCAGGTATAGTGGCAGAGACATATTTGGACGCAAGGACAGAGGCACAAGCAGCAGCTTTTGGGGCCAAACGTTTGTTCTCACTCAGATGAGGCTCAGTAGAATTGCTTCCCAGGTTTGGTAACTTTGTTTTCCTAATTGAAAGTTGTCTTTCGACGTCTTTTATTTGTTGCTTGAGGGTATGTGGTGAGAATACAGTTTCAAGCTTGTAATCTTCAACGCATTTCAGTACAACCATTAGGTCAGCTACTCTTCTCTTTACAGACTCAACCTGTTAGCAAGTTTCAAGCGTCAGCATATAATAACAGTTGGATCGTACACAAGAGAAGAGATTGACAAATTGAAGGAGAAAGCCAGCAAAACATACCAGTCCTTCAATTGATTTGTTCCTCCTCTTAATTTTTCTGGCTGCAATCTTGGAACCACTTAAGTAATCCCTCAAGATAGGTCCAGGTGGGAACTGATTAACCATCTCAAATGCATAAATGAATCTGATAGCTTCCATTGGCTGTCTCTTTAAGATAAGATTTTGAATAAAACCTGTTATATGCATGTAAAAGAATAGTTACAAGTTCAATCACGCTCCAGTAGATATTTCAAATGAAAAAAATAATTGATTGAGAATCGAATCAATTAATTTTCACCAGGCATTAAAGAAGTCAAGGGCTAAATTGAGAGGAAAAACTGGTGTGCTTCAAGCCATGGATTTAAGTGGATTTCCCAAGGCTAATTTCGCTATACGATGCTTAAAAATTGACAGGTGATGCTAGCACTAGCAGAAGATTATCCTTGACCTTTACCACTCTTGACAACACCGTAACAAATGACTATAAGCTGAACACTCAAAAAGGCCTTTAATTGCAGTTACATGCATTTCTGCTCCAAACAAAGGGTATACAGTGCATCCTCCATGCAATACAGGATTCATTGACTTACCACCAGAGAAAGCTTCAAAAACGACCAACTTTTTAAAGAATTTCCATGACTTTCCACTATCTTGTATTTCATAACAGAATCTTGAGATGTGAAATAAACTATAATTTAATCACATACAAGTTTCTGCCAATACCAAATATAGAATAGTTGCAATTCATGATGCTCAAGCAAAAGATTGCAACTTCTTTTCACAACAACCTCTTTGAACTCCACATCACCCTCCCTCAAATGGGGCGGGTAAAACCCTTCCATTGCATCCAAAACCAGCTTTGCAGGATCCGAGGAAAGTCCCAAAGCAGTAGATACCTCATTCTTCATCTTCTCATCATGTTTACAACGCTTATTTAATAAAATTTGCAATGCATTTCCATCCATTTTCACTGAAAAATGTAGGTTAGCATCTATGGAATATTCTACGGTCTCCGACTTCACATGGGCAATACAAGCATCAGCAACTTGTTTCTCCTTCAACTCAAACTCCTTAATTCGCTCCAAGCACTTCTTATTTTCCATTTCAACTTCCCGTAACCTGTGTTCTAGTTCCTTCTCCTTCAACTGAACGTCTTCAATTTGCTTCCCTTTCAAATCAAACCTCCTACACCGTTCCTCCAATTCCTTCTCCTTCAACTCAACCCCCTTAATTATCTCCTCAACATCCCTACTTTTCAACTCAAGTTCTCTAAATCCTTCCTCTAATTTCCTCCTATGCAATTCAACTTCCTCGCTCCTTTTGCCAACATTCTTCTCCATCAATGCAATCTCTTTAACCCTCTCCTCAACCTCCCTGCCTTTCAATCCAAGATCTTTAAGCCTCTGCTCAACCTTCCTATCTTTCAATCCAACCTCTTTAAGCCTCTCCTCAACTTTCCTATCTTTGAATCCAATCTCTTTAAGCCTCTCCTCAACGTTCCTATCTTTCAATTCAATCTCTTTAAGCCTCTCCTCAACCTTCCTATCTTTGAATCCAATCTCTTTAAGCCTCTCCTCAACCTTCCTATCTTTGAATCCAATCTCTTTAAGCCTCTTCTCAACCTCCCTACCTTTCAACTCCACCCCTTTTCTCCGTTCCCTAAACTCGTCATCTTTCACCCTAACTTCCTTAAACAGCTCTCTAACCATCCTCTCCTTCTCTTCAACCTCTCTAAATCTCTTCCCCACCCTCTCTTCTCTCAATGCAACTTCTCTAAACTCTTCCACCACTTTCTTCTCCTTCAACTCAATTTCATCATACCTTTCTCTGACTTGCTGCCCAAAATTTATCTCTTTTAACTCAAGCTCTCTTCTCCACTCCTTAGAGTTCTCTTCTTTCAACTTAACCAAAATTTCCATTTCAAGTTCCTTAAACCCCTCCAGGAGGTGCTTCTCCTTCAACTCAAGCACTTTAGCTTGTTCGAAAAACCTCTTGTTTGCCAATTCAACTTCTTTCAACTGCTCTTCAAGATGTTTCTCCTTCAGTTCAATCTCCTTGGACTGTTCCTCAAGTTTCTTCTTTTCCGACTCAACTACCGTACACCGCTCTTCAAGTTGCTTTTCCTTCAATTCAACCTCTTCAACAAACTTTTTATTCCCCAATTCAGCTATCAGGCGCCTTTCTTCAACTTGCTTCTCCTTCGACTCAAGCTCTTCAAAAAACTTCTTAATTTTCTTGTTTTCCAATTCAACTTCTTTCTGCTGCTCCAGAAGTTGCTTCTCCTTCAATTCAAGCTTTTCAACTAACTTCTTTCTCTCCGATTCAACTTCCTTGCACCTTTCATCAAATTGTTTCTCTTTCAATTCAAACCCCTCTATAAACTTCTTGTTTTTCATGTCCCCCGATTCAACTTCCTTTTGCTTCAATTTAAGCTCTTCAAAAAACTCCACATTTCTCTTCCTCACCAATTCAATCTCCAAAGCCCTATCCTCAAGCTGTCTCTCCTTCAATTCACACTCCTTAAGTTGTTCCCCAACCTTCAACTTCACCCATGGAACTTCATTGAGTTGCTTCTCCTTCAACTCAAACTCTTCGACAAACTTCTTCCTTTCCACTTCAATTTCCTTTTGCCTTTCCTCAATTTTCTTCTCCTTCAACTCAAACCCTACGACAAGCTTCTTCCTTTCCACTTCAATTTCCTTTCGCCTTTCCTCAATTTCCTTCTCCTTCAACTCAACCTCTTCAACAAACTTCTTTCTCACCAACTCCTCCCTCTCTTCGACTTCCTTCCGCCTCTCCTCCAACAGCTTCCTCTCCGATTCAACCTCTCTACGCCGTTCCTCAAAATCCTTCTCCTTCAACTCAATCTCTTTATAATGCTCCTCAACCTCCGCATCTCTCAACTTTATAAACTCTTCGCACCGTTCCTCAAACTCCTTCTCCTTCGATTCAAATTCCTTCTCTCTCTCCTCCAGTTGCCGTTCCTTCGTGCGAAGCGCTTTGGCGGAGTCTTCGATGGAATTGAAAGTGGAATCGAAGTGACTTTCGATATCTTTCCATTGAAGAGTGAGGGAGAGAATGGAAGAGGCTTGCTCGTGAATTTCATTGAGACTTCGGTTGAAGCTTTCTTGCCTTAACTTAGTGAGTTTCAACTCGCTGCAAATCTTCTCCTCCATTGAAGTAGGAGACGACACCCTAGCACCACTCACTGGAGTGGAGGGGAGAAAATCAAAGAAGCGGGTCAGGGTAAAACGACAGGTCGTCGTCAATTGGTTGATTAATTTTTTAGCAAATCATAATCACTATTAATGTGCTGGGAAAACCTTAATGATACCCCGTGTACGGACCCTCTCTTACGATTTTTGAAATTTTTTAAAATTTATTTTTTAGTTTAAAATTATTATTTTTAATATGTTTTTGAATTATTTTAATACGTAAATAACATAAATAAATTTTATAAAAAAAAATCTGATATATTACTAAATAAAAAATATTTTAAAAAATAATGTTTACCACAATTTCAAACAAATTCTATTAAAATAGGTTTATAAGTTAATTAGATTTAAATATTTAGTTTTTTTAAAAAAAAAATTATATAAAAAAACTTGATTTTATTCTAGTTTTGACTTAGTAAAAAATTAAATTGTAAAATTGACCAAGTTGATTTTTTTTGAAACTTAGCTAAAAAACAATCTTAAATGATTGTATTTTTCATGCAACTTATATGCTATATATATTTTTTAAAAATTTAAATTATTAGTTATAATTTTAAAATATAATTTATATTATTATCTAAAATATATATTAAAATAAAAGTTATTTAAATTTAAAATTTATATAAAAAGTAATAAGATTTAAATTTATAATCTCATGGTCAACAAGAAACCTAATATATTATATTAAAAAATTATTTTAATTAAAAAATTTATATAATAAAATGAAATTTTAAAATATAATTTATATTATTATCTGAAATATCTATTAAAATAAAAATTATTTAAATTTAAAATTTATATAAAAAGTAATAAGATTTAAATTTATAATCTCATGGTCAACAAGAAACCTAATATATTATATTAAAAAATTATTTTAATTAAAAAATTTATATAATAAAATGAAATTTTAAAATATAATTTATATTATTATATAATATATGTGTAATTATTATTATGCGGTATATAAACTTTAAATATATTTTTAAATAAAAATTAAGTTGTCATATATAATCAAACAATTCATGTACAACATATATATCTTATTATTTAGCACTCTTAGCTTATCGTTTATGTTTTACATAAACTTGTTTTAAATTTCTTTATTTCTCATGTTATACGTTTTTTTTCATATCATCTACAATACCAATATATAAATCGGTAGCAGTCAGACATCTATATAGTATGATCTTTAAAATCTTAAAAGTGTTTGTTCATTAAATCATATATCGACATAAAATCCATGGTTTATTAAGCTATTCGAAACTGAAGGTTGAAAGACATAAATCCATGCCGCAGCATTAACATAGGATTCATGTTTTATTAAACTTTGAGGTAACCATTTTTTACCCCTTTTTCTAAGAGATTTACCTGCGTAGCTGAAGATGAAGGTGTATTGGACGATGCTCTCTCTCTTCCTCTTTTCGTTTGTTTTCCCTCTGGTTGCTCTTTTCTTCGGCTCTGTTTTCTCTGTTCGTGTTCTCTGGTCCCTCTCCCTCTTCGTTTCAGTCCTTGTTTCTGTTTGTTTGCTTCTCTCTCTACTGGTTTTTTCGGTCTTCCTCTCTCCCTGTATTTGCTCCTCCTTGGTTTCCTTCTGTTTTGTGCCTCTGTCTTTCTCCTTCGCGTCTCTGTTCCCAGTTTTCCTCTGCTCGTCCCTGTTCTCTCTTTCACTCCCTCTGTCCCTACATTTTTGTTCTTCTCTGTTTTCCCCCTTCTTCCCTCTGTTTTTTGGTGTTTTTTTCTCCCCCATTCTCTTCTCTTCTCTGGGTTTTATAGCCAGAGAATGCCAAGCGTTCGTGCATCCTGGGGGCGAGGGATAGCAGCTCGGAGACCTGGTCCATGAAACGGTTTT